TGTCCTGGAACTAGCTCTTGTAGACCAGGCTGGTCTCAATCTCACAGAGATCCACCTGCCTCTGCCTCTCGAGTGCTGGGATTAAAGGCATGCGCCACCAATGCCCCATCTTGAGGGCTTGGAGAGATGGCTCAGTGGTTAATAGCACGGGTTGCTTTTCCACAGGATCCAGTTAAGTTGCCAGCACCCACATGGCAGCTAACAACTCTGTAACTCCAGGGATCTGATGGCCTCTTCTAGATTCTGAAGGGACTGCATGCACATTCAGCACAGACACACATACAAGCAAAACACCCATACACATAAAAGAAATTAATTTAAATCAAGCCAAGGTTGTAGCTGTTGCTCAGTGACAGGGCACTTGCTGTGGATTTGAGCCCCGACACAGCAGAATCATGTTTACAGAGAGAAACAAGAAGCATATTTTCCTTCCCTTGATTGTGCAATGAGTACCTCTGAGGAGTTACTCCCTTGATTCCATTTGAAAGACCATCTCTGCAGCTTCTCTGCTAGTGCTTACCAGACTTATGAACGAAGTCAAAATTCATTTTCCCCTTTCAGGGTTGGCCAATTTGGTGGAAAAGACAAGACAGAATGAGAAATCCATAAAAGAATAAATGGAAAGATAGAACTTAATTGCATACACTCTCTTCCAAAAATATTTCATCTGTGTTGTTTAAAATCTCATACCTGTTCTCCGTGATTCTTGTATATATGCATGCATGAACTGAAGCCCAAACAACTCCTGCTCCTCCTCTCCTTCTGTGTTTTCACTGGGAGGAAGTGTCACCTCCAGTCTCAGTGGGTTGTCTCGAAAGTTGACAAACCTAGCAGTTCACCAGAAAACAGTATTTTTATAGGTTCCATAGAAGTACATGTACATTTATTTCCCTGGAAAAAGATCAGATAACAGTATACTGTATTACAATAACTGATTATCTTGCTGAAATCTAATATACCCCAAGAAGAGACAGTATCTCCGCCCCCCAAAGCTTACATAACAGTTAATGTGATGAGAGTAAGTTGTATTATAAACATATGATTAATGAATGCTATGAATATAGTTTGTGCCTGTTTTATGGATGAATGCTTTAATCATCAAGTACAAAACTAAAATTGCTGGATAAGAAAATGAATGAATGATTTTTGTTATGGAGGTTTTGAGTTTGAGTACCCATTGCCTTATTCCATCAGAAAGTTGCATTTTGGAGAAAATTTTATTGCTGTTCTACTAAAGAGCAAAATAAAAAAAAAAAAGTCTGCTTTCTATAGGCTAATATAATACCTGTGCCTACTTGTAATTTGGAGAAAATTTTATTGCTGTTCTACTAAAGAGCAAAATAAAAAAAAATCTGCTTTCTATAGGCTAATATAATACCTGTGCCTACTTGTAGTTATTCAGAAGGAAAATAGTCACTATTTTATTCTTTTGGTTTTTTGTATTGCAACGTGTTTGCTAGCTATATAAAGAGAATTTCCATGACATTGTCACCAACAAAAGACATTTCTTCAAACTGATAAATGCCAGTACCATTTTATTTTCAAGAATTACTTCTTGAATAAACTAGATTTATGTTACATGAGTCATATTCATGAAATTATTAAAACACTGAAATACATGTTTAAAATATATACACTCAAGCTGGGGAAATAGCTCAATAGTTAAGAGCATTGGCTGCTCTAACAGAGGACTCAAGTTCAATTCCCAGCACCCACGTGACAGTCCAACCCTCTGTAACTCAAGTTCCAAAAGATGCAATGCTCCCTTCTGGCCTCCATGGGCACCAGGCACACAAATGGTGTGCAGGCAAAACACCCACACACAAAAGGAAAATTTAAATATACATATATGCAGTCATATCAATCACAACCCAAATGTGTTGGTCAGGATCTGTATTCCTCCATTGTGCCTCCAGGAGTAAGTGTGCCATGCTGTAACTGTACCCTTTACCTCAGATTTGTCATGTCTTCCATGCAGCCTGGAATATCTTGCAGTTTATTGTTGCTGAGAACGAGAGTCCCCAAGTTTTTCATATTTCTGATTGTTTCTGGCAGGCAAGTTATTTCATTCCTTTGTAGCCACAATGTATGTAAACTTTGCATTCTGGAAAATCAGAATTCTGCAACCAGTCAACTTGAATACGAAAAGCTGGCCTCATCGTATTGTTACATTTAACATTCAATTTTTAATTCACTTAATTATTTACTTAGTTAATTATTTAACACTTAACAAAATGTATTTATTCGTTTAGTGGAGTTCATTCTTTCTTATGACCTAATTGCCGGGGAAATATACATCAGGGAATTCACTAAAGACTAGCCTTCATGCAGTTGCAGAAATGAAGCCAATGTTTTATACCGCATGTTTTTCATAGTTTTCTAAATGAACAGCTGTCAATGTCACCTAATATGAATCTTAAAAATCAAGGGCTGATAATATATGCCCATCCTAGGCAAGGCAGTATGGACTAGGGTCAGAATTTCTAGGTTCAAATCCAATTAATGTCGATAACTGAGACCTGGGCATAGGTGACAAACATCTTTGCATCAGTTCCCTCACCCTGGCATGCCTGTCATGCTCTAAGCAGTGTGGCTACTACGGCGTGTTCTTGGTAATTTGGAATAAATGAAAATAACCCATTGAAATGATACATTTTGAACTAGTTGGGTCTTTTGTGATCATCGTGGGCTCCTAGGTGTCTGGTTTATTGTTTTGTTTTTGTTTGTTTGTTTGGTTGGTTGGTTGGTTTTGGTTTTTCGAGACAGGGTTTCTCTGTGTAGCTTTGGAGCCTATCCTGGCACTCTGGCCTCTCACTCATAGAGATCCACCTACCTCTGCCTCCCAAGTGCTAGGATTAAAGATGTGCGCCACCACCAACAGCCGGCTTGTTTCTTATTTTTCGTAGGTGGCTTTGAATCATCAGTAGCATAAAGTAACCTATTTTACCTTTCTAGACTGTCAGGAAGTTGTTGAAGGCTGTTGCTTCCCATATCCAGCCACTCGAGGGCAGGCATGTTCAAGACAGCAAGAGGGATTGTAGTGAAGTGGTTCATACTCAGATCAAGGTGGGTGAGTCTTAACAGTTTGCTGAGCTAAAGAGGAAAGTGGGTTTTACAAATAATTATCCACAATGTACATTACTAGAAGACTTACACTGATGAACTATTTCACATAAAAAGCTCATATTCCATGAGCTTTACATAAATAGAGTCCACAAATCACACATAAAATTGAATAACTTCTGGCATTATACTTGAGCTGCCCACAATAAATAAAATATAAGGATAACTGAAGTACATGCCTATAATCCCAGAGACCGAGGGTAGCCTGGGCTATAAAGGAACTGTTTCAAAGGGGGTAGGGGGGAGGCAGGTATGGTGGCACACGCCTTCAATCCCAGCTTTAGAGCCAAAGGCAGCAGATTTCCCTGAGTTCAAGGTCATTGTGGTCTACACAGTGAGTTCCAAGACAGCCACAGCTACACAGTAGACTCTCTCAAAAACAAAAACAAAAAAGACCTGAGTAACCTGGGATGCCAGTAAAAGGAAATGAAAAGTTTTTATTCAAAGACAGTTTGTCTTCCAAGATAACCAAGTTTTGGGGCTAATAGGACCTGTGTGGCAAAAGCAGCATCCCCACCCCAAGAAGCATTTCTCATCTTTACTTTCAGCCATTGACTGAAAATTATATGAAAAACTGACTCTTCAAGATAACCTTACTGAGCCAGGCGTTGGTGGCGCATGCCTTTAATCCCAGCACTCGGGAGGCAGAGGCAGGCGGATCTCTGTGAGTTCGAGACCAGCCTGGTCTACAAGAGCTAGTTCCAGGACAGCCTCCAAAGCCACAGAGAAACCCTGTCTCGAAAAACAAAAAACAAAAAAACAACAACAAAAAAGATAACCTTACTGACTTACTCACATTCACTATCTCAAACATCAAGCTCACTCTGTAATAATTCTGCTTGAAAGTGTGATGAGTGACTGCAGATTTTATAACACACAGCACTATGCTCAGATTAAAAATAAGAACTCACAAAAATCTACCTGCTTCTGGGGGAGACCCCCCCACACATCTCGCCCCCACACACACACACACACACACACACACACACACACACACACACACACGGCTACATAATGTGAATACAGACATGGGAGGTGGCATGATTCCATCTAGTAGGTGATGCTGTTTCTCCCACTTTTTAATTCAAGCCATGACTAAAAATGCATTTCTGAAAACTGTTACCAGACTTTTCAAATTTTTGTTAATAGGTACATATACTAATGAGGTAGGTGCAATTTATGTCTGACAGAGAAATCCTCAGTTGCTGACCCCTCAGTAGTACTAGAATCCTTTTTGTTGTTATTTTGTTTTTCCGAGTCAGGTTAGCACTCTAGCTTTGGCTAGCCTACAATTTGCTATGTAGACCAGGCTAGCCAAGAAGTCAAAGAGTTCTACCTGCCTCTGCCTTCCAAGTGCTGTGGTTAAAAGCCACCACACCTGTCTAGAATCTTTTCATTATAGAGTATTGAAAAGATAGTAAATCTGTCTAACAGCCTTCTATGTGAAAACAAAAATCTAATATTAGAGGGTTTGTCCAAGGACACATAGCTACTCAGAGGATACACTGTGGCATTAAATGGTCTTTGGATCAGATCTCAGAATAGTATTTCTAATATTTTAGTAGCAATTTCCTCTGAGGCTGAAACATCCCATCCTGCAGGGAAGGTCTGTAAGCCATCAGGTAAACAACTCAAATAAGGTCCAGGAAATACCTGAAACTGACCAGATTCACTAGGGTCCTCCTTCCCAAGAGTGAACTACAAAGACTGCTGAGAGTCACACTCACACAAGCCAAGAAGCAAAGAAGACTCTGAGACCATACCTGGAAGAAGCAGAAACCAGCTGAACTGCCTAGAAGAGGATTAGACCAACTTTGTCACTTGGAAAGGACACTCTCCAACTTGCAGAACTGCCTGCAGGCTGTGAGTGTAGTCTAGTTCCCAGCTTTAGTGAGATAGACTTTGGTGATGCAGCTCTCTTGGGGTCATTTTTGATCCTCTAACCCTCACCCATATTCCTGCAAGTAACCCCAGTAAAACTCATTGTTCACCTAGTTGGACTTTGGTCTGATCTGTGTTTGGGGCTGTTGTGGGTACCCTTTCATCTTTTCATTATAGAGTATTGAAAAGATAGTAAATCTGTCTAACAGCCTTCTATGTGAAAACAAAAATCTAATATTAGAGGGTTTGTCCAAGGACACATAGCTACTCAGAGGATACACTGTGGCATTAAATGGTCTTTGGATCAGATCTCAGAATAGTATTTCTAATATTTTAGTAGCAATTTCCTCTGAGGCTGAAACATCCCATCCTGCAGGGAAGGTCTGTAAGCCATCAGGTAAACAACTCAAATAAGGTCCAGGAAATACCTGAAACTGACCAGATTCACTAGGGTCCTCCTTCCCAAGAGTGAACTACAAAGACTGCTGAGAGTCACACTCACACAAGCCAAGAAGCAAAGAAGACTCTGAGACCATACCTGGAAGAAGCAGAAACCAGCTGAACTGCCTAGAAGAGGATTAGACCAACTTTGTCACTTGGAAAGGACACTCTCCAACTTGCAGAACTGCCTGCAGGCTGTGAGTGTAGTCTAGGTTCCCAGCTTTAGTGAGATAGACTTTGGTGATGCAGCTGTCTTGGGATCATTTTTGATCCTCTAACCCTCACCCATATTCCTGTAAGTAACCCCAGTAAAACTCATTGTTCACCTAGTTGGACTTCGGTCTGATCTGTGTTTGGGGCTGTTGTGGGTACCCTTTCGGGACTAATTAGACATGTGTGTTGTGTATCCCCAGGAAAAGTCTTATCAC